ACTACACCCTCTTCTCTCAAATAGCTTTCCCTATAAATCAAGGCAGGGAAGCAGAGCTTGAACTCGGGGCAGTTGTCAAACAATCAGGCTATCTGCTTGAAGAAGCGCTAGAGATGATCCCGAGAACCATTCTGATACCAGCTTAGTGCAAACCTGGAGACTTGCACAGGGACCCCCAACATCACATTGCTCTCAACCCCTATCCTGTGGCCCACCAGAAATCAATGCAAAAAGTCACCAAATCTGCACATTTTTAAAGCTTCCAATTTTAAAAAGCTGGAGGAAGAGTGGTTATGCAGGCATGGGCTCTAGAAGCTGTGATTGGCACCCGTGAGGAGTGTGTCTCTTTCATAAGCTCCTTGCTCAGCAAGACTTACCACTTCCACATCAGTGGCTCCGACAAGAATGAAGTCCACCATCAGACCTCGGAGGATCTTCAGAGAGGTGAGCGAACAGACTGGGAGCTAAGACTGAGGTTGAGTGATAGCCGGGGAAATCCCCAGAGACAATCTCCTCACTGAGCCTACTTCCTTCTGTTTCCAGTCCCCTCAACACCACTAGCACACAGGCCTGGATGCTGTAGTGTTGAAACAGGATTCTAGTTTGAACAGGGCTGTATTAAATTCTCTTGCCAGGAATTCACACGAAGCTGGATCATCCCTGACGTCCTTGGAAGTTCACCTGAAGTCTGGAATAAACTTCCCCACATCCCTAAGGCCTCACACCTCTAGGTGTAGCTGCAGAGCCACCTCCTCTGGGGAGTCTCGCCATCCTCCATCTGAATGTGGGGACTTCTTGGCCCCACCTGCACACTGCTTAGGATTCGATTGCTATTTTGTTTGATGGTAAGCTTGTCTATAGCTTACTTCTGTTGTGGCTCCATGAGGAAAAGAGACATTTTCATGCTTGCCATTGCATCCTCACTGCCTCACAAAGTGCCCAGCACATAGTAGGTGCTCATTAGGCTCCACGTGCATGAATCAAAGCTGCTGTGCAGCAGTAATGCCTGGAGGTCTATGCACTCAGCATGTGTGGCAGGAAAGTACTCCAAGGGTGGATGGGGGAAATGGGATTTCTATCACTTGTCCTGTGTGCTTCAATCTCTCTCACATGGGGACCATCCACCAAAATGGCCTTGTCCTTTCCAGTGCCTCCATGGGGCCCCCGGATGTCTTGAACTGGAAACTCATTCCTTCCTCCATTGCACCCCACCCCCAGTCTCCATCAGGGTCTCACACACACTGGGGCAAAAATGACCTAATGCACCAATGGTGAATAAATGAATGGTAAAATCTTTCTTAGGTTGATCTGTTTGCTTTGGTCAATATATGACAAGAGTTAAAAATTGGTATTCCTTTCAGGTTAAAACCAAGAACAAATCTTTTCAGGCATAGGGGAGGTGAGGCAGGGCCAGCCAAGATGTGGCAAGTGGAGTTGGGAAACTGCCGTGCAGCCCGAGAAGCCAGAAAATAAGTCAGGGAAGATAGGGCTGTCCTGGAAGATGCTTTCCATGTGAAGGGGGTCAAGTACACAGCAGAGAACTTCTGAGTTTCTGATTTTATGACTTTCTTGTGGTGAAGCTGGAATTGTGCATCACCCTGTTCACTGTGTGCAAATCTGGAATGATCAGGCACATATTGGCCTGGTTCGTGTGTATAGCACAAAAGAAATAAGGGTGCTCCAACATGAACATGAACGAAAGCAGCTTGAAATGTTTAGATATTATTTGTTAATATACTGATAAGCATATTTTTAATCTTTACTAGTATATCCTTATTACTTGAACATAGTTGTTCTCCAATAATCAGTAAAAAAAAAATCTTAATTATAGGAAATGGGCTATTTAGATTATTATTATTATTTTTTTTTTTGCAGTAAGGGGGTTTGAAATCAGGGCTTCAGCACTTGCTATGCAGGTGCTCTATCACCTGAGCCAAGCCTCCAGGCCAGAAATGAACTATTTTTAAATAAGATATGTGTTCATTAAAAAGTTAAAGAAGCAGAACACTTTTTTGTGTGTTTGTGTGTTTTGTGTGTTTGTGAGGTTTGAACACTTGCTAGGAAGATGGTCTACACTGGAGCCAAAGATTCAGCCCTGCAGACCACTTCTTAATCCTGATACTAATAAACAATATTTGGAATTGTGCTCCCGGTATCTTAGGTGCTCAGGTAGAATACGCTGCAGACACAGGCACGTTCTTTTCCGTTAGGGAGGATGAAGAATCTGTGGGGTTATAGAATTATTCATCTTTCTGCATCTTGATTTCCTCTTCTATAAAACTACAGAAGTGGTGGATTTGAATCTGTGCATGTCTAATATGTTAAAGGTCATGACCTATGATCCTACACCTTTATTTTGCTTCTCTGTCCAGGGCCAACAGAAAGAATCCACTGACACACCTAAGAGGTAGGTCTTCCTGCAACAAGTGGAGCCTTCCCCACAGTAGGACACGGACAGATATGGTTTCCAGCATGAGCTGATGGCAGTCTAGCATCCACAAGGTGTTTAAGAATGTGGAGGACCCCATGGACTCACAACGGAGATAGTCTGAATGGCCTCTTCCTGGATAACCTCAGTTTAGACATTCTTACTGGCTTTGCAGAAAATCTCTCACGCTTCAAAGTTAGGCAGCACCTTGTCTGCCCATTGTACAGAAGAGCAGGAGGAAGTTCATAGCCCAACTGAAATCTCAGAGTCTCCCAAGTTCTTCACACTGCCTCCTCTGCTGTCTGAAATATAGGGTCTTTGGCCAATGGCCCTGCCCACTTCTCTGCATCCCAGGCACCATGCTGCAAACCTAGTGCCCATCTATACCTGGGAGCCTGTGACCCTCTGGGAGGCAGATACCATAAATGCTCCATGAATTATGAATTTATTTATGCAAATAAATTCTTTATTTTCAAAAATAAAGAATTTGTCTGCCAGGCACCAGTGGCTCACACCTATAATCCAAACTACTCAGGAGGATCATGGTTTGAAGCCAGCCTGGGAAAGTAGTTTGCAAAGACTCTATCTCAAAAATACCTAACACAAAAAGGGCTGGTGGAGTGGTTCAAGGTGCAGGCCCTGAGTTCAAGCCCTGGTACCACAAAGAAAAAAAAGGAATTTGTCTGGCCTGTCTGCTGGGGGGCGGGGGGGAAGGTTGTCATTGCAAAAAATCTATGACCAGGCTGATCATCAAATTCCCATTCTGGCCCAAAGTTGATGCTCAAGACTGCAACTGTTTACAATCTTATCTAAAAATAAAGGTAAGCACCAAAATATGGAAATTAGATCACCTTTTGAGAATAAACCCAACATGAATACCTCAAAGGTAAGAGCATGGAAAAGCAAAATTATCTTAAAGAAATAGCCCGGGAGACAAAGAAGTCACCTGCTGGGATATCTCTGGCATCCACTGAAAGTTGTAACTACTTGTGTGTATTATTTTACGTGTCTCCTGTGCAAGACTGTAAGTTCAGGAGGACAGGGACCAGGCCATCCTTCAGTCCCTGTCCCCCCAGTACCTGGTCACATGGTAAGCACTCAACAAATGACTGACTGGGATGGAGCTAAGGAAAGAGTGCCACCAGCAGAAAGGTTAGTGCCGAAGCCCAGAAAAATGAGGTAGACTCGCAGAGCCCATCCACGCCCTGGCCAGGAGAGGTCGTGCCAAACAGTTGTCTGCTGTTGATGCTAGTCCCTCTGGAGGTGTTTATAGGCTGCTTATACTCAGACACTCTGGGCCAGGGGACTGCCACCTGCAAGTAGATAAATGAGCTGGCCAGAGGTCCCGCCCGGGGCTTGTGAGCTGCTACAAGCTGGCCAGCCTACATCCTTCAGGTCAGCCCACTGGCCACCCCAGCTGGTCCTTAAACCTCTGAGCTGCAAGATTTGCCATGACTTTTCCTAGAACACCTACTTTGCAAGGTGGCTCTCAGTATGAGGATGATAAAAAGGACTGGCACAAAATGCAGGCTCGATACACAGAATGATTATCAGTGCCCTGTAAGGCACATGGCTAAACAGGGACTTCCATGAATAAATATCAGCTTTGTATCCGGTGGAGCCAACAGTGCAGGGTCCAGCTAAGAACCAAGTTGAGGTGAATAGGCCACAAGCCTGACACGTCTACAGGGGAGAGGGAAGGTTGCGGTCAGCAGGAAGACCTGAATAGAGCTCCTGGAGATGGTACAAGATGGATGAACGGTGAATCAGCGCCACAGGCCAGGAGGCCCTTATCAGGAGCTGTGCTCTGCCGTATCTGGTGGTCACAAGGACCAGAGGGAAGTTCTAGCATTTAGTGAGCAGAGGCCACAGCCAACACCTATGATGCTCCTGACATCCTCTGCAGTGAACTGTGCTGCCCTAAACACTAGCAGCACCCTGATGACACAGACACTAGATGCAGTCAGTGGGGACAGGGCAAGAGTCTAGACACAAGGGGAAATGGACAGAGGCCACAGGGATGGTGAGGAGGATGGGGATACCCTGCAAAGACAGAGCCTTGGTTACTTACTTTCTTCTCAGAGACAAAAGATGGGCTTGTTGATCCATAGGGGGAGTGTTTCTCTGGCCTGTAGCTAATTACACATGTCTGTTGCTGGTGCCACTTCTGTGATATTTGCTCTGCAGTGGCAGCTCTAGCTTGCAGCTCAGTTTCCAACCCAAGCCTGAGACACAAGGAGGTTGGACAGTTGCAGAGTTTGGCCGATTCCTTTCCTGACCTACCTTTATTCCAAAAGTCAGTGTGACCTGTGGGATACGGTGGGTCCCATATTGCTCTTCCTTTATAGAATTGGACAAGCTGACAAAACATACATTTAGAAAGAACAGGCAAGATGATAGGGACACACATGCACGCACACATATAACAAAGAAGCTTTCTGGCTGAAAAGAAAGTGGAATAGCTTTTCTTTCTGTCCGATTCACAAATACTGAATTTACAGCATAAAAGTGAGGCACAGAGTGTCTTAACTTTTCACCCAGAGAACTACAAAGCATGCATGTGTATACATACCCGGCTTGGGTACTGTCGCGATACGGCAGCACGGAAAATATACTACAGAAGGATCTTCTGCCACTGATAAGGACTATTCTAAAAAGTAAAAAAAAAAAACAAAAAACAAACAACAAACAAACTAAATGCAAAGACTCAAATTAAAAAAAAAAGTTCTACAGCAATTAAGCATTCAGGGAATTCACAGCAGTATTTGCGTACTCCCGCCACCTCCTCTGACAGATGGCATTCTGCTCTCCTTGCAAAATGCAGCCTCAGCGTGCCGCCTCTCCTCACCCAAATATTAACACGTGCACCACCAGTGACCTGGGAATCCTTTCTCCTGGGAGAGGTGCTGACTGCGGACTGCATATAAGACGGAGCGGACAGCACCGAGTCTGGGGTGGCCAGTGCTGGGCGAACAGTCACGCCACATTTAAACCACTGATTGCTGTCCTGCAGTAAACAAGGCGAGAGCCATCGTGCCAGACACAGTGAGCAGGAAAGACACTCAGATGCTGCTACAAGCATTAGGTTGTTTTTTTTTTTTTTTAATTCTGGCAACATGCTAGGTTCTGAGAATAGATTGAGGGAACAATTACATAATCAGTCTAGCCTCCATTCCTGCTAAAAAGAATCTACTGGAAACTGTTCTACACCATGCTCTTATGCAATCAAAAGCCACTTTAAAAAAACCATTAAAAACAAAAACAAAAACTCTCAAAAGTACTGATCCTGGCATCTGAGAATAACTTTTGCCAAAGGGAATTGATGATGAAAAAAATGGAGAAATGAGTGGAAGAGATGAAATTCTTTTTAGCACAGGGTCAATACACATCAGCTACATAGCTTATTTACTTTTGCAATCTTTTTCTTCAATAGCACAATATTAAAAGCAGGGAGAACAGCACTGCTGAATGCATCAAGGACTGGGGATTTTAACCTTGTTTTAAAACTCTGGTATTAAACTGCCCACAAGTCTGGGATAAAGATTGGTTCCTTGGCATAGCAAACCAGTCCCGCCACCCCCATTCCATCTCTCCAGTTTCAGTGGGATGGCATTACCCCGTGCACCTTCCCATGCACCCGTGCTAATGCACCTGCAGAAACTTACCTTTACAAAGTCCTGCTGTTTTATATATATGTCCTTTGCATGCTATTTCTTTTGCTTGTGATGCCCCACTTTGGAATGCTTGGTAAACTCCTATTGATTCTTCAAAACCTAGTTCAGAAGTACCCCTCCAAGGAGCATCTCCTCCCCCTTCACTGAGTTACTTGGTCTCTCTTTGGTCCTGCCTCCACTGTTCACGCTTCTAGCACTGGTGTGGTCAGTGCTGCTAGTCACTTGCCAGCCTCCTCTTCTAGACCTCAAGTCCAAGAGTTTAGTACATTGCAACTCCTCCAAAAACGACCATTATGCCCCTGAAATGCAGACTGGCTTCAGAGCAGTGTGTGAGGATCCAGCAATGGGGTAGGAGCAGGGCTGCAGCTGTCTGTTAACCACACAGTGGTTCCTACCTATAGTGGATAATGTGACAAAGGCCATGGTCCTAGTTCATAATACTAGCTGTCACCTTTACTTGATCTCAGGTAGTTTACTACCTCTGCTGAGCCTCAGTTTCCTCATTTAAAAAATGGATTAAAACTAGGCACTATTTTATTGGGATATTGCAAGAGTTGGAACAGACCCTATCGAACAGCATATACCTCAATCAATGGGAATTGTCTTCACTGGGTACCAGCTTCTTGGGTTAAGTTTCAGCTGCATGGTTTTGGGCTCAGAACTTCTCCAGACCTCTGGACTAAATCTCCAGGTTGCTAAGTGTGAAAGGCTGTGCTGTGGACTGCGGAAGGACCATACAGGTGGCCTGTCTACAGTGACACAACACACAGATATGTTGCTGAAGAGAGAGGCTTCTCTTCAGGTATCACAGACCTCAGCCCTGCTCAATGCAGCAAGACAGAAGTGTTACATCCTGGACTGAGGGTCCAATAAATCATGACCGAACCTGCTGAACACCAGCCACCTTCCTTGGGTTCTCACACATGGAGCCCAGCAACAGAGCTTCCAATGTAGCAGTAGCCGTGTAAATTTACTTAAGCTGGCATAATAATGGCTGACTCTTATAATGTATCTATTATATGCCAGGCTCTAAATGCTTTAGCCGATGAGGCAGAACCCAGTAAGGAATGTCCCAAAGGTGACACAGCAGCAGGTGGTAGACCAAGGATTGAACTCGAGCCATTCCCCACCGCTCTCCCTCACTCTCAGGTCTGCACCTGGGAGGCTTTGCTGGGCACCATGGGCTCCTTGAACAACAAGTCTGCCTTCACCCAGGTATTTCAGGGTGGCCTGCCAGCCTGGCCTGTAGGTCGCCCTGAGGGTGAAGGATCACAATAGCACCATCAGAGCCATGAAGGCACCACACTCCCACCCTGCTCAGCTCTTTCTAGATGAAGGACAGAGGTTTTTCATGCACCCAGAGCCACTCCTCACCATTCACCCAGGAGGAAAGCCTGGAATTATTCACTCCTCCTATCACTCAACACTGACGTCCCCTGCACCAGAGAATGGAGGAGTGTGCAGAACACACTTGACTGGCTTAGCGTTACTAATTTTCTCATTACTCAGTGCTAATGTGTCCTTCCTTCCCACACACCAAACTTGTTTGGACATTTTTAATAGAATGAGAAAATGAGAGAGTATCAATGCCAAATGCAATCCAAGTCTTCTTCCAGCGTTTCAACCACAAGGCGCCTGTCAGTAAATAGGCTGTATTATTCTAAGAGATGAGCGTTCGCTCTGGGTGGTCCTCACCGTTAGGTCTGGGAGAGGCTGACTCTGTGGATCTTGTTCACAAAAAACATGTTATTCTACTAAACTGGCCAAGTTTAGCAACTGTAAACATGGACTGTATCCCAACAATTCCACTGAGTGGTTCTTCTCTGGTTGGCAAGCCAAAGTCTTAAGCAGCTGGAGAGGGAAGCAAAAAAGCAGCACTGTATCTTTGGGTTCTTCTACGTCCGTGGGTCCAATCACTGTATGGACTCCTGCTCTCTGCAGGGCCTGCAGGAGGAAGCCACAGCAGAGACCCACGCGGTAGCTCCATGACAGGATCACCAACAGGGCTCCTGGGAAAATATCTTAGGTGTTCCCAGAAGTAGTTTTGGCATCTAGGAGGCCTTAGCCAGAGCAGGCAAGTACCAACAAGCAGCAAGTGTGGACTTCTCAGCTTCCTACGCTAGCAGCTGTGAGCAGCGCGATTCTCACAACAGGTCCTATGTGACCCACCATGATGTTTAGAACTTAAAAGGTTCCTGGGAATTTGCAGCTTTGCTTGGCACTGGGGAAAGTGCATCCTGATGGAGATGCCCAAGAAGAAGAATCAAATTTGTTTGTTGTTTCTGAGAATTAAATTGAATGTGGGCAATGAAGAATGACATAAGATGACCAAAGTCCATTTCCCATGGGCTTCAGGAACTGACCACATCCGTGTCATTGCCGCCAACCACCACAGCGACTCTCTTTTATGTCTAAATGGCACACGAGAAGCCCACATAATTTTCCCCATCTGTGACATATAACACTTCATTTGAATTCAAGATAGTCAGAAAGCATTACAGAAGAGATTATGACTTCAAAAACAGGAATTAACTCCAGGGCAATGGGTCTTTAAGGAATGAAAGGTCACAGCTCCACAGTAACATCTGCTGGGAGCAGGGTGGGGAACCAGCAAAGGGCAAGGCTCCACACAGGGCTGCCGCCCACATGGGCTGGATACGCAATGTTTTCCAAAACTTCCAGGAAGCACCGAGCGAGTGTGCCCTGCAGCTGGATCATGGCTAACTTGCTTCTTCACAGAGCTCCATTTCCGTGCTCTTAGGAAAGTGCGTCTGGTAGTGGGATCTTAAGACATCAAAGCTTCTACAAGCCACACTTTGCTCAGGAGAAACTGGAATGTTCTGGGCAGCCAGGAGACACACAAGCACCCCATAGTTGGTAGATCACCGTGGGTTACCTTCATCGAGTCTGCTTTCTGTCCCGCCCCAGCCCAGGATGAGTGATTTAACCAGGGAACGTCTAACATGATGCACGATCCTCAAGCGTTCTTTTGGCAAAAGCAGTCTTCTTGCTCAGTTTCTAGGACCCTGGGGAGTCTACTGGCCAGGAGAACATTTGACCTCATCCAGGTGGGAAGTTCCATGATATCAGAAATATTCTCTTAAGGACATTAAAAATGAGCAACAGGCTTTATGGGGTAAAGAAAACCCATCTGCAACAGTGGGGGTGAATACAGAGATGCCCAAACAGGGCTCTGAGGTCCCCATCAGGTACTGGGAATAGGTGCAAAAACACATTTCCCAAACCTATTCCCTACCTCTCAGGAAGCAAGAAAAAAAAAAAAAAACAAAGTTAAAAATGGTGGTGGTGTGGCATGAACTGTGTCCCCCAAAGAGATACCTTGAACTACCAGCCTGTGAAGTGGTCTTATTTGGGAATAGGGTTTTTGCAGATGCAATCATGTTAGGATGAAGGGATTCTAGGTGAGGGTGACTTAATCCAGTGAGTGGTGTCTTTATATGAAGACAAGCGATCTGGAGACACCAAGACACCCAGGGAAGAAAGCCATGTGATGTCAGACACTGGAGCAATGCCACAAGCATGCCAGGGCTTCAACAACCCCTAAGGCTGAAGGAGGAAAGGGGTGACTCTCCCCCAGGGCCTTTCGGGAGCATGGCCATGTTCTTCAAAGCTCCAGAACTCAGGAGGAATCCCTTGTCTTGTTTTAAACACCTAGCTCACGTACTTAGCCCTGGAAAACAAATACAGCTGGCATTCCAACACATCACCTGCTGAGTAGATCCTCCGTGCACCCACACTATGTTCACTGCACCCGGAGAAGATACGCCAGAAAACAAACAAATAGTACAGAATCCAGAAAACCTGCTCCCTTCCCACTTGCGCTCTTTCCTTCTCTCACAATGCTTTACTAAAAACTGGCAGAAGGGGGCCTTGACCCCCTTCTCTCTTGCCTGAAAGGCTGGCAATTACGCAATGAGGGTTGATCGAAAACAGAAGCAACAAGAAAATGTTCTTG